TTTAGCTGTCCGATTAATTTCTTTCTATTTTTGGTAGAGACGGGGTCTCGCTCTTGCTCAGGCTGGTCTCGAACTCCTGAGCTCAAACGATCTGCCCACCTCGGCCTCCCAGAGTGCTAGGATTACAGGCGTGAGCCACCGCGCCCGGCCAGATATGCCTAACTTCTGAATTTAAGCTAAGCTGGTTCTAGAAGAGTATATTTTGATTTCAGGGATTTCTGTGCAGCAGTTGATGACTTTAGAAATGAATTTAAAGTTCCTCCATTTCAAGATTGTGTTTTAAGTTTCCTGGGATTTTCAGATGAAGAGAAAACCAATATGGAAGAAATGACTAAAATGCAAGGTAAAATTTAGCATATTTAAAAGTTATTTTATTCCCTATTTCTGCTTAATCACATCCTAGTGAATATGCCCCTTTAAAAATTGGGATTTGGAAATAAGTAGTTTGGCTTATTTATTCTTGTTTGCATTCCTCTTCAGGAGGTAACTATTTATCAGTTGGAGATGAAAGATGCACTCACCTTATAGTTGAAGAGAATATAGTAAAAGAACTTCCATTTGAACCTTTGAAGAAACTTTATGTTGTCAAGCAAGAGGCAAGTAATTCTCGAATGAGATTGTTTTTTTTAAACATTAACTTATGTCTTCTCTGAGGTAAATTTAAACTCTTTATTACAATGTTTTCTCTCTTACCTAGTGGTTCTGGGGAAGCATTCAAATGGATGCCCGAGCTGGAGAAACTATGTATTTATATGAAAAGGTATGCTTTTTGGCTCATAGTCATTTATTCTGTCAACTTGCTTGTATAGAAACAATACTTTTCTATCCAGAAATTTTAGAGAGCATAGTATAATTAGCATACATATCTTTTACATAATGTTTAGGAGTTTAAGAATAATTAAACAATTGGATGTCAAATAATAGTCTATGTAGATTTAAGTGGAACTATTGAATGTATATTATTTTAATTTAGTATATATTGTTCTGTGCTAATTCTTGGTGATACCATTATGAACAATAATGTCTCTGTCTTCAGAAACTTGGAACCTTATTGGAAAGATAGATTTGCAAAGTTACGATGTAGAATCATGCGTGCTAAAATTGAATAGTGTATTCTAGGTAGCCTCACTCTTTCTTAGAGACTTAGGCAGGATTGGAAAAGGCAAATAACTGTTGAGCCAACTTACTAGACTAACTAGGTAAGGACAATCAAGTTAGAACAGCAGATAGGAGAGGGTATGAAAGCTTGAGAATACATTAAAATATTAAGTAATTTAGTATGGTTTTAAAAAAGTATGGGAAAGAAGGACAACAGATAAAACTTAATAAATAGAGTCAACAAGTTTTTAATATGTTAATGAGTTTGGATATTATCCTAGAAGTATTGGGAACCATTGAAGAATATTAAGGGGGGAGCTGTCATTAAAAAGATGACTTTAATAGTAGAATGTAGGCGAGGAAAATCTAGCTGTTATGATGGAACTTAGTGAAGAGTGATATCACTTACCAAAATGGCATAAAGGTATAGAAGCAGGCTTTAAAAGAAGATTTACTTCAGTTTGGGATTTAATAATTTTGAGTGGAATATTGAAGATGAGGATTTATTGTTTCTATAAAATCTAAATAGGTACCAATCATATTGTGCTCTCTTCAGACTCTATAAACGTAAAATTCTTAAGATAAAGTTTTAAAGGTATGCTTTAGGTTTAGGGAGAGAGCTCTTAAAATCAAGTGTTTTTCAGCAAATATTGGAGAGCACTGTGTGTAGACACTATGCTAAATGCTAGGGATACAGTGAACAGAATATGAGTGGTCCCTGCCCTCATGTAGTTTATGGCCTAATGAAGGAGTAGACAGTAAACATGCTTACAGATGAAAATGTAATGTTGTGCTATGAAGAAAAAAATGAGGTGCTTGGGGTTAGACAGTTGCTGTGGTCTCTTGACTATTATGTTTTCTGAAGCTTCTGAATTGCCTGGCACTGTAGGGTTGTAAAATTATTGTGCAAAGTCCAGATTTTGTCAGACTTGTAAATATGTTTTTCTCTTGTTCCTGTCCCAGTAAAGAACGATGGAAGTAAAATAGAGCTTTTGTGCTTTTGATTACAGGCTAATACTCCTGAGCTCAAGAAATCAGTGTCACTGCTTTCTCTAAATACCCCAAACAGCACTCGCAAAAGACGTCGTTTAAAAGAGACACTTGCTCAGCTTTCAAGAGAGACAGACATGTCACCTTTTCCTCCCCGTAAGCGCCCATCAGCTGAACATTCCCTTTCTATAGGGTCACTCCTAGATATCTCCAACACACCAGAGTCTAGCATTAACTATGGAGGTAATTCACATTTTAAAATACTCATCTTTAAAATTTAGTGGAATGGAATAACTGTTAGAATCTAGATATATCTCTACTACAGTAAATATGAAAGGCTTTGCCTTTAATTACCTTTGTTCTAGCTGAGGATAAAAGACACATGAAAAGTTAAGCATAATACTTCAATTTAATGATTGCTTACTACATGCTAAGTGCCTTGTATATTTTGTGTATTTATAGTAGGTCTCATTATCCCTATTTTACAGATAACTAAACTGAGGTACAGAGAAGTTAAGTAACTTGTCCAGGGTCACACAGCTGGAGAATGATAGAGCTGTTCAAAAAGCAAATTTTTTTTTTTTTTTGAGACAGGATCTCACTCTGTTGCCCTGGCTAGAGTGCAGTGGTGTCATAGTAGCTCACTGCAACCTCAGACTCCGGGGCTCAAGTGATCCTCCTACCTCAATCCCCTGAGTGGCTGGGACTACAAGTGTGCACCGCTGCACCCGGCTAATTTTTTTAGTTTTTGTAGAGAGGTCTTGCTATGTTGCCTAGGCTGGTTTTGAACTTCTGGCCTCAGTCTCCCAAAGTGCTAGGATTATAGGTGTGAGCCACCACACCTGGCTCAAAAAGCAAATTCTTAACACTAGCTAAACAAAATCACAGATGTCACATGAATTATGAAGGCTATAGGTAGAATGAAGTTAGAGAAGGGTGAGTTCACTTTGTGTTAAACTGACAGAAGAAGGTTTCTATAATTCCTCTCTTGGTTATCAATATTTCCCTCTCCTGTTGTCTGCAAATAAATATATTTTCTAGATTTAAGAAACAAAAAGATCAAAATTTCCCCTGATTCCATGACACTCTCCACTTACTGTCCCATTTTTCTGTTCCCTTTCACATCAGTATACTTCAAAGAATTACCTTAATCCATTGTCTCATTTTCTTGAATCTCATTGTCCTTTCAGCCCATTCCTACTGAGCTGCAGTCCATACTATGTAAAATTGCTCTTGCTGGGGAGAGACAATAACAGTCAATAACATTGAACACATGAATAGCTACTCCTTCATAGACACATCTTTTTTTCTTGGCTTCGTGACATCACTCATTTCTCATTCTCCTTTGCCTAGCTTCTCTCTTCAACTCTAAATATCATATGTTCCTCCTGAGTCATTGTTTCTTCTCTATTGTATTCTCCCTAAATGATCTCAGTTAATTCTATAGTTTTAAAAAACATTTATGTACTCATGACTCCCCCAATTTTTCTTCTTCGCTGTCTAAATGCCTACTTGATACCTCCTTGTCCATATCTAATAGACATCTTAAAATTAATATAATCAAATTAGAATTCTTGATTCTTTCTGCTACTACCAACTCCTCTGTTACTTTGACACCCGTTTTTTTAAATCAGTCTTTTCCGTAAAAAGGATCTCTCTTAGACTATTGCAGTAGTCTTCTAAATATGGTCTCTCCATTTTAATTTTTGCCTTTCTACATGCAGCACTTAGAGAAGTCTTTAAATATATATAAATTAGATTACGCCACTTCTCTGCTTTGAAGTCATTCAGTGGCTTTGTATTATCATAACTTTTATATCCCTATGTAATCCTGCCCTCATCTACCTAACTTCATGTGGTATTACATTCTCTAATAATATCTGTACTGTCTAAGCTTCAGTCATGCTATCTTTGTTATTTTTCAAGTATTTCTAGTACATCATACCTCAGGACCTTTGTATTTGCTCTGTCTGCTTCAAGGAAATCTTAATTGGGTTTTCTGTAAAGTTAAGTTCCTCTTCTACCACTCCTTCCTACCAATGCCATTACCTGGTGGTTGTTTTCAGTAGTAGTTATCATTGTTAGA